TGGCCTCCCACTGCATAAAGAAACCCATCACATGTAGCCACTCCTACACCTCCTCTTCTCTTACACATAGGAGCACACATATTCCATTTATTTGTGTGAGGATCATAATATTCCATTGAACTCAAACACGAACTTCCATCCCGGCCTCCAACTGAATATAACCTAAAAAAGTCCACACAAATAAAAAATGTTAATAAAACAAGTGTTCAGAACTGCAGAAATAAAAACAAGGAGTATGTGGGTTTTTTTATTTGACATCAGCCAACAGAAAAGAAGAAAAAATACAACATTTTTAAATAATTTGATTTTTATATAGTGAGGAAACAGATGTTTTTGATATTATTAAAAAACTCACATGCTACTTAGCTCTTTGCCCACCTGAACAGAAAGGAAGATATTTCTGTCTGTAATGGAGGTTTTCATTCTTCCATTAGTGCATATACAGTCAAGAGTGCCACAAGTGACATGCAGGTATGTTTCTATAGATTTATAAATCCCATAAAGGGTTGCTGCCTAAGCTAATCATCTGTGAGATGGAAGTGCTAACTTACAGTTGGTAATCCAGACAAAATAAAAAATATGCAATTTATTTATTATAGTTTCTCTGTGTTTTTATTGTGCATCAAACTAGTAGGAAACATCCGACAACTGTTGTCCTGTATTTCAAAATTTATCTTATACAGTATTTCAATATGGAATACATTCAGTGTTAGAACAGAATCATAATGATTAGAAGAATGAGCTTCTACTCTGCCTTTCTTGACATAAAAAAAAGAAAAAAAGAGGCACTCGGTATGCTAAAGTACAAATGATATGGAAAATTGCATTTGGTCTTTAAACGGATATTTAATAAATTCCACATAAGAACCTATCAAAGGAAGCTCATGTTCAGAATGAATTTACACATACAATATAGTAGATATCAAATATAAATGTGTTGCAGAAAGGAGTGTCACATTTTGGTTTAGACATGGATTTTTAAAGGAGAACTACCTCAGTTTCAAGAATCTTGCTTATACTGAAGAAAAGTCTTGGCCACACTAACAGTAACATATCTACCTCCAAGTAAGAAAATTATAACCCCGAGGCACTATAGATTTTCTTCATCAGAATGTATTGTGAGGATATGTTGGAAAGTCATGGAAAACTTCTGAAAAGTATTTTAAACTTGAAATTACAAAAATGTAGTTTAATAAAAAATACACTGTGTTTGTAACTATCTTCAGGCAAGAAACTTGTTACATTCTACTTTTTATAATGGTTCCCAGGAGGAAACAGTTCTGATTGTTCTTTCCCACTACTACTGTGCTGCATTAATTTCTTATATGAATCCTGTTGTAGGCTGTTGCTTTTCCTACAGTGCCTGGAGATTAACTAATAAAAACACAGGCTATTTTAAAGTCCAGCCACTAAGCAATTTAGGATGTGAAAGCTGTCTGTGTGAAGTAATTACTCATTTGGAAGCTTTTACTGTCCTAAGCACTCCATGAATTCAGAGTTATTTAAATGTGCATTTACCATTACATTTCATTGGTATGGATGTTGATGAATAAGGAAGTACCATACTATTACTAAATATGCCACTGAAGCATGAGAAGATGTCAACTGTCTCAGTATCCATCTATTGCATGATTTTGCCTAAAATATAAAAAAATATCTACACCTTTTTGTAGTTTCTACAGTTAAGGAAAAATAACTTCAACATTTGTCTAATTTTTCCCTATAGTGGGATGCAGAATAATTGCCTTTCTGAAAAAAAAGGGTTTGATCAAAAGCAGCAGTTACTAGACAGTATATTTATAAAATACCAGCAGCATCAAAATGGTCAAAAAAGAACCTGAAATAACTTCTCGGGATTTAAATTCAGTTATAAATTTATTTATAGGTCAAGGTAAATTTACAGTAAAACATAGTAAGAACAGAGAAAAGATTTTAAAATTTTCAACAAAAAAATTCTAAGGCTGATAACTTGTGGGTCAGTCTGTGAAATATGTTTGTTGTTCTTCCCACTGCAAAAGAGTTTACAGAATTCATTAATAGTAGTTAATTACTTCCTAAGAGAAATCTGAGACATTCCATAGTTAGGTATATGATGTAGGGTCTGTTACGGAAGCAGACATGTGACAGCATGAATTTTCTGACAGGGAAAAGCACTGCTGTATTTTAGCATTAGGCAAAATATCCATGTCATTCATAAAATATTGATTTAAAACTATTTGCTTGTAGCTAGTGAAAATATTGTGGGCAGAAATCTCACTGTTTGAAACCTGCTTTTTTCTCCTTACATGACTGTAATTAAGTATGCCAATTCAGGATTTTTTCTTAGTTCAAATGGATTAGTAAAAGAATAACTGAATCATCAATAAGGTACAAGAGCAAAGAAAATCTCAAGTAACAAAAACCATGAGAAAAAACCTGCACAGATGGGAAATATAATGTACTTTCTTATCTTGGTAGTTTGGCATGAAATTTTGAAGTGTTACTTAAGCTTTAAAAATTACAATTATAGCATATTAATATCTCTTTTATTTAATAATACTGATCCAGTTCCCTAGTCATTTGTTACTGAAGTATGAAAATTATCCATGCATTGCAATTTTATGGATGACTTGCAAAAAAATCTTAGGTCATTTAGTCTGTGACCTTCACAATGAACAAATCCTTCTCAGTTCAGCAAATTAAACCAATAATGTAAGATTCAGCTGAAGTTGGTCTACTGAGTCAAAAGGAATTTCATCTTACTCCAATATTAGTTATTAAGAAGGTAATCAAGTTTCAAACTGGAAAAAAATAGAAAGTTAAGAGTGGAGATGGCATGGTATTCTGTTCTGCTGAGTACAGTAGATATTTGATAGCTGTAAGGACTGTTGCCAATAGTTAGCTGAGTATTAAATTAGATATTTAATTAATTTCAATAAGATTTGTATTTTTAAATATACTTTCAGATTTAAACATATGTGGAAATAAGGCAGCATGTGCATACAGATGATAATACACACTTGAATGCATATGTGTATATACTTCATCTCCAATAAAAGATAATGATGAAAAGCCAGACTTTCAGAATAATCCAGAATATAGGATGCTAACATCTTTTGCAGTCTTGACCACAAGAGATAAAACAGTGATGGCTGAATGCTTTTTAAAAGTCTGTGCTTAATTGTGGAAGCTGCACAATTAAAAAATAGGCTGTGAATCTTCCTAGGCATTATCCACATTGCCTTCTGCTATCTAGATTGCTGCGTACATTACATTTAAAAACTTAAGTTAGATGGAGTGACCCTACTGCCTTTTCCTGCCAGGTATGAGGACTGAGTAAGTTAACTCACTATGTTCGCTTGTCTGAAGTACCCATGTATGTCCAAATTAATGCATAAATACTATACCATATGCATTATCTATGTAGAATTTTTTGTTCATTACAAAACTTGTAAAAAAGTTTTGTTGTATGGATAATGGATGAAGAGAAGTGCATAGTGGGGGCACATGCACTAAAATATGTAGATGTGCAGTAAACATTCAAAACAGAAATGTGATCTAAGCATCTGCCTTCTGTCTGCCAAGTGTCTGCCTTGGACTGTTGAAAGAATAGTGGGTTTACTGTAAAGTGTCATGATTTTTTATTGTCTTCTTGTACGAGTCACATGCATTTATCTAACTTTAGGGCTGGCCTACCTATATAGAAAGAAGCAAACCTCTGCAGATTACTTCCTATTGTACAGGCTGGAGGTAAAATACCAAGTTAAATCTTACTTGAAAAGGAGAGAAGATGATGTACTTTGAATTGAATTGTACATTCACTGAGCTGCATGGGACCCCCATGTAGGAAATATGAATTTGTGTGCAAAAGTTCAAAAGATCAGACCAGCACATTGNTGGCCTCCCACTGCATAAAGAAACCCATCACATGTAGCCACTCCTACACCTCCTCTTCTCTTACACATAGGAGCACACATATTCCATTTATTTGTGTGAGGATCATAATATTCCATTGAACTCAAACACGAACTTCCATCCCGGCCTCCAACTGAATATAACCTAAAAAAGTCCACACAAATAAAAAATATTAATAAGTGTTCAGAACTGCAGAAATAAAAACAAGGAGTATGTGGTTTTTTTTATTTGACATCAGCCAACAGAAAAGAAGAAAAAATACAACATTTTTAAATAATTTGATTTTTATATAGTGAGGAAACA